GGTGGAGCAGGTAGGGGGCAGGTGGAGCAGGTAGGGGCAGGTGGGGAGTGCGGCGGGCAGGTGGAGCAGGTAGGGGGCAGGTGGAGCAGGTAGGGGGCAGGTGGGGAGTGCGGCGGTCAGGTGGAGTGCAGGTATAGTTGCCTCATCACTGCACAGAAGCAGAGACAACCCAGGGGAGAGTCTTCAGTGGTCCTAGAACAGCAAGGTGTTTTTGTGCACAGAAAAAAGGCTAGATACGGACTTGACATTTTTCATAGTAATTAACTGAAAGTGGATTATAGATCAAGGTGTAAAATAGGAAGCTGTAAAACTTGCTGAAAAAACAGAAAATCTGGTGATCTTGGGTTTTCAAGGACGACACCAAAAGTTTGACAGTCTCTTGTAGAACTCATTCTTCCATGTAATCCAGTAATTGGACCCCTAGGTATGCATCCAAATAAAAGTGAAAGCTGTCTGCACACGGATGTTACAGCAGCTCTGTTCATAACTTCCCAGACTAGACCAGCATGCCCTTCAGGAGGTAAATGGATAAACAGAAGCAGGTTTAGGGCAGGGTAGCCCTCTTGAGGGGGCAGAAGGGGTGTGTCGGGCAGATCATCCACCCCGTGTGGGCCAGCTAGTCCCACGTGAGCTGGTTAAAGCTTGCGCTCCTGGGGCTGAGACTAAAGTTTCGGTCAAGCCATGGTTTGCTGACGTGGGGCTCAGCCCAAGTGACTTTGTTTGGGGCCTGTTGTCTCCTCGCTAGCACTGCAGAGACGGAGGTGAGACGCGGATGCATCTTACTAAGTGGAAGAAGCTGTGTGGAAAGGCCACGTACCTTGCAACCACGTGACACCGGTAAAGGTGCAGTGTGTGGTGGTAAGGTCACTGGTTTCCAGGGCAACGGGGGAGCCAGTGAGTAGAGCATGGTAGTAAACCTAATGCTTGCGAATGAAGGGAAATAATTTCGGACGTCGGGGATCCCAGGAAGGGATGCCGACGCTGTTACAGACGTGTGAAGCGCCCTCACCGAAGGGGCAGGAGTGTCAGACTCGGGGCAGAGCCCTGGGCTCTAGTTGACCAAGCTGTTCCCCACGCGCTGGAATAGAGCGACTAAGTACATGGCTGGCGGGTGGCGGGAAGCCGGTGTTGTGTCACCGCTGAGGGGGAGGTTACAGGTGACCGAGGGGAGGATGGGCCACGGAATAACGGATGGTAGTGGGAGACGTCAGTAAGAACTCACGTTTAGCAGGGCACCTGGATGGCTTAGTCGGTTAAGCGTCCGACTTTCGCTTAGGTCATGATCTCGCGGTTCGTGGGTTCGAGCCCCGCGTCGGGCTCTGTGCTGACTGCCAGCTCAGAGCCTGGAGCCTGTTTCAGAGTCTGTGACTCCCTCTCTCTCTGACCCTCCCCTGCTCACGCTGTCTCTCTCTCTCCTAGAAACAAATAAAAAACATTAAAAAAAAAATTTTTAAAAAAATCACGTTTAGCTTAGTGTAGGCACAGTTGGCGGCACAGAGAAATATTTCTGATTTGTGTACATGTGCAGTTTGTACACTTGGCTCCAACTGCCTGAAGGCTCAGAAGCTACGACGCCCCAGCGGCAGGGAGCACGCCAGCCCCCAGAACGGGGCTCCCGAGACCATCCTCCAGCGAAGGAGCCGGGGCTCCTGGAGAAACAGCCGGTCCCGGGCCTGGGGCAGGAGGTGCCAGGAATGCCTGGGAGGGTCATCTAGAGCCAGAAAGTGCTCAGAAAAAAACAAAACGCCACGCAGGTGGCAGTATGTTAGGGCTTTGATACGGGACACCATTGAAAGGGCTCCCAATGGTCAGAGTAGGTAAATGGATACAATTTGAGCAAAAAAAATAAAAAACCACCTATAAATTATTATCGCATGATAACCCGAAGTATAAAATACGCATCCGTGAGTCCGTGCTAATAAAAGTGATAAGTGAGTGAGAGGGGCGCCTGGGGGGCTCAGTCGGTTAAGCACCTGACTTCGGCTCAGGTCATGTTCTCACAGTTTGTGGGTTCCAGCCCCGTGCTGGGCTCTGTGCTGCCAGCTCAGAGCCTGGAGCCTGTTTCAGTCTGTGACTCCCTCTCTCTCTGACCCTCTCCTGCTCACGCTGTCTCGCTTTCTGTCCTAGATATAAATAAAACATTAAAAAAAAAAAAAAAAGTGATGAGTGAGAGAGGAGACAAGTTGCCTGTGCGGACAAATTCCAGATAAACATAGGTGCTCCCCATCCAGGAGAGGGAAACCCGCTCCCCAGCCCTTGAGTGCAGGCTGTGTGAAGGGGACCCCCCCCCACCACCACCACCAGGAGCAGAGCAGGGAGCGCACCTGACAGGTGTGTCCCAGCCGGGAGACATCAGAGATCACGTCGGTGGGATGGATCTTAATGCCAAAAACAAGATGGAAATCACAGAAAGCAGTAGACGGCATTACCTAAGGGTTATGCCCCGGAGCACCTGACCAGTCTGCAAAACCAGAACGCCTGAGGCACTGTCACAGCCCAGGGCGTCTGGACGAGTGTATGTCATGGGGGTCCCAGTGGGTCCTGGGGTAGAAAACGGGCTTTGGATAAAAAGTGAGGAAGCCTGCAACACAGCGGACCGGCGTTACTGCACCTGTGTGGACCGTTGTGACGGACATCTGATACTAACGCCGGGTGCTCGTGCCGACCTGGGTGTGGGGAGTGTGGGAATACTGTACGCCCGTCACCTGATGGACACATGTTGCCAAGTAACCCTAAATGCTGCCATACGATGTGTGGCCGAGGTTGGGATCAAGAATGTGACCTGAGGAGGGAGGGTGGGCACAGACGCCCTGAGACTTCACCTCCCTCGTTGTGTTCTCATGGTGACTTCTCTGGGGGTCACCCACCGCTCCAGAGCCACCTCTCAGTCACACCAGGAGGGCCCCCTCCAGGCAGCCCCCTTCGGACTTCCCACCTCCCCACACCCCGAGCTGAGCAGTGGGCACCTCACGGGCCGTGTCAGCTCCTGTGGTGGGGATGTGGGTCCTGCCCTGCTGAGTGCAGCGGCCAGTGTCCGTCTGTCCCTCCACACGTCCTGTGGTCCGGGGGCTGGCCGCGTCCCGTGCGGCCCGGCGTCATCTGCGCCCGCCCTGGACACTGGGTGCACCCAGCAGGCGGAGGGGGTGCGCTGTTTCCAGGCTGACGCCTCCGGCCTCCCACGCGGTGTCTCCTCATGCGCGTTGGAGCTCAGCAGCCCGGCTGCGAACCGCAGCGTGTGCCGCGCCCCTCAGCCCCCCTGCTGGCGGGGGGCGGTCCTGTGAGTGGCGCGTGAGCACCGCTGTGTGCACACCCTTCTCCCCGCTGGCCCCGCGCAGGCGCTTGTGGGCGTGTCTCTACTGCCGTGGGCGCGGTACAGCCGCTTGCCCTGTGTGAGTTAGTCCACAGGAGTTGGGGGTGGGCCTACCTTGTAGGGGCAGAGAGCTGTTCGGTCCTAGCACCTTTCTGTCTTAGGCTGCAGGGGCCCTGGGTGGTCATGCGTGGGGTTTTAGGTGCCCTTTAACTGGGAAACACACGCACTAGCGGGCACCGCTCTGCAGCCTAAACAACGCAGAGTCCCAGCCCAGAGTCTTCTCCCGAGGGCGGGTGTGCCTCTGGCCTCCAGGTGGCCCGTGCAGTTGGCCTGGCCAGCCCCCCCCCCCGCCGAGGCCCAGCCTCCTCCCTCCCTGGGGACGGGGGCTGTCACTGCAGTGGGCATCCTGGGGTCCCTCCCACCCCCAGCCTCCCACCTGGGAGACGCACACTGAGGGGCTGTTTGTTCTTTGTTTGCAGAGGTATTGTGGCCAGTATTTTGGTTTTCTTATGTTTTGGAGTCACACAAGCTAAAGACGGGCCATTTTCCAGACCTCATCCAGGTAACTTGCCCTTTCTCCTTCCGTGTGCCCACGTGACGGTTCTGTCCTGAGCAGTCGCTCCGTGTCTGTGCTGCCGGGTCTGAATGTCCTGTCCTCTTCCTCCCCCCCCACCCCACCCCCCAGCCAGGGCGCACTGTCACCAGCTGAGGGTGAGGGCTGGCTTTCCTGCAGCCCCTTCCCGTCTCTCTACTCCTCACCATGTCCTTACCCTCTGTTCGCCTTCCACCCAGTGCGTCTCGGGGCTGCTTCTACAGACCCTGGTGCCCCGGGACTGGCCAGCGGGGTCGGCATGGCCTTCAGCTGGGGGCCCTGCCATTGACGTACTCACTGAGTGCCATCTGCCACCAGGCCTCCTGTCTCTGACTCCCAGCCCCCAAGTTCAGGGAGTTCCAGTAACCCCCTGGGCCTCTGAGCCGTGGAGGCCCGGTGTGTCTAGGGCTCCAGCCTCACTGAGGGGCTACCTCTAAGGGCAAGGCATGGTCAGCTTTCCTGAAAGGTCTCAACTTAGTAACCCTTGTAACTTTAGTAATCTTTTTTCTTTTCTGTCTTCATAGGCGTATGTATTTATTGTAGAATACTTGGAAAGTACAAAAAATATTTTTAAATAGATATAAAAGCCACTCACAGAAAGAAGCCACTGTTGAGCTTTAATGTGTTTTTGCGTGGGCATATACACGTAGCTTTACAAAATGGGATTCTACTCTGTGTGTGGTTGTTTTTTTTTTTTTTTTTAGTGTTTTGTTTCTGAGAGAGCGACAGCATGAGCAGGGGAGGGTCAGAGAGAGAGGGAGACACAGGATCTGAAACAGCTCTAGGCTCTGAGCTTTCAGCACAGAGCCCGACGTGGGGCTCAAAGCCACAAACCGTGAGAGCATGACCTGAGCCGAAGTCGGACGCTTAAACGACTGAGCCACCCAGGCGCCCCTCTGTATGTGGTTTTATATCACAAACCTCCTCACTTCAGGGAAACACAGACCTCATTAATTTTTTATTTGACAACTAGATGTTTAATGGCTGCTTGTTTAGTGGTCACTTGAATGCATTACAGTTTATTTACCAGTCATATTATTGTATATTCTGGGTTTGTTGTCATAGACCAGGCTGTACGTGTGTCCGATACTCATGTAGTGCAAAGTCCTGGGAGCAGAAGCAGCAGGTTAAAGGGCATGACCATTGTAGGCCGGGCTGGAGATGACCGAGCTGCCCTCAGGAAGGGGTCGGTGAGCACTGTGGCTGTGAGCCAGGCCCCTGGGTGCCCCGAGTGGTGTGGGGGCGCCTGCATGGGGGAGCCTGCACTGGCTGGTCTTGGCAGCTGCTGTGCCTCCCTCGATCCCTGGTTGGGACACTGACACTGGGTGACACCGCCTGGTGCCGGCCGGAGGGGCAGTGGCACCCAGCTGCACAGCCCGGCCCCCCAGCTCCCCAGTCATCTGGGCCTCAGAAGGGTCTGAGCTAGCCAGAACCTAGGCAGAGCGAGAGACTGCTTTAAAAGCCACCAAAAAGTCACAGCAGAAGTCCGGGTACAGTGAGTGCCTGTTGGATCTGCTGGGAAGAGTTGGGGCTGCGGGAAAGTCAGTGGACCCAGGGGTGGCAAGTCGCCTGTGGGTGCTGGGGTCAGACGGCGCTGGGCAGTTGCTTGGCCTCTGAGCTCCTGGGAGGCCCTACATCCCGTCCAGTCTGGGGTGCCCGTCACCCGCCCCCAGCTAGTGTTCTGGGCTCTGCTGCGCCTGCCTTTCAGTTTGGTTGCTTGGTGTGAACGGTTTCCCTGTGAGTGACCGAGTGTGGGGGGCCTGCTCTGGAGCACCTGCTCCCTGGCGGTGGGCAGGGCGCCTCAGGGCACTTCAGCCTTGTCAAATCAGAGCACGTGGGAAGTGGTCCCCTCCGTCCCGGGCAGCACGCATGGGGACAGTGGGAAGGGTTTTCTGGCTCAGAAACGAGGGGCTTTGTTGGGAAACTTGAACTGGCTACAGTTCCAGTTGAAACTGGCCCGTTAAAGAGGCACCCTTCTCTTCACAATTTGTGTTTTCATGCGTGGCTCCCAGCGGAAGCTGGAATACAGAGTATGGTGAGGGCTGCAGGGGCGGCTGGGTGGGATTGCAGGTGAGCGGGTGCACCCACTGCGTGTTTGGGGGGATGGGGCAGGCCTGGGGTTCTACAGGTGGAGGGGGATGGGCAGTGGGGCAGAGCCAGCCAAAGGCCCTCTGATGGGGGGCAGCCGGCAGTCGAGGAGGAGACAAGCTCAGCGTCATGGGGTTCGGCCCGTGAGGAATATGCCCTCCGTGGCTGTGGGGCCAGCACTCCAGGGAACGTGTCCTGAGTTGCTTTACCGCAGGCTCTTTTAGATCCTGCTGCCACCCTTGACCAGAGACAACTTTCCAGGCTTTTTGCAAACTCCAGGGCAGCAAGGCTAGTTTGTTACATCGATGTTCACCCCGCATCCAGGAGGCACTTGAGCAAATGGTCCTTCGTGCTTTTCGCCTGTGCAAGCCTGGGTTTTCATGAGCCGAGGACGCTGGGTGGGCCCTGGAGCCTACGCACAAGCTGCCCCCCAAGATCCCCATGGGATCTCCTCAAGGCCAGCGGGGCCAGGGTCTCCCCCATGTGTAAGCACCACCATTTTTATTCAAAGGAAATAGTTTTTAAAACTAAGTTGGTGGTTTTTTTTAAGTTTGTTTATTTTGAGAGAGCGAGTGGGAGGGACCGAGGGAGAGGGAATCCCAGGCAGACCCCATGCTGGCCGCATGAAGCCTGAGATCATGGCCTGAGCCATCACCAAGAGCCACGTGCCCTCCTGGCATTTGTATTTCAGAATGATGGTTTTAGACACTCACTCTGCTGTTATTTCCTCCCCTGGTAAAAGCCTGAGCCTTCCGTTTCAAGGTATGAAAACCAGGTGGTGGAGAGAGAGGGCCCTGGCTGATAAAAGGAATTTTGAGGGACAGGTTCTTTTTTTCTTAGCTTTATTCAGATTTCGTTGACCCATAACAACTTGTGGGTTTAAGGGAGACGAGATGACTGGACACACTTGTGTACCTCCGTCACCTCACAGAATTAGCTTCGTTGAAGATCTCCCCCAGCTGTGAAGTGTGCTCCGGGGACCGGCTGTGCCGATGGAGATAGAAGTCTCCCGAAAGAGACGGACAGGAGCAGGGTCGGCTTATCCCCGGGTTGGAGAGGCAGCTCAGCGTTAGAGACCGTGTTAGTGTAACTCATCGCGTTAACACTGGAGGAAAATGACATTTCCTAACCATCCTGAGTAACAGCTTAGCGTGCTGGAATTAGTAGGTGTTCTTACCTTGACAAAAGGCCTCGGGCAGAAACCCACTGCAGATTTCTTCAACGATAAAGGTCAGAGGCCTCACCGGTCCACACCGGCGAGAGTGCTGGCTGCCATGGCTTCTGTCTGACGATTACGGGCTTCCTGTGCTGGGGGGAGCGAGGGAAGCTTCGAGCACTGGCTGGAGGCATCGGTGAGAGCCGACACTCGCTTCTGAGTGAGGCCTCAAGCGGGGTGCTGCCGGGCTGGCACCCCTGACTCGTGTGCTCTCTGTCTTTGTAGCTTACTGGAGGTTCTGGCTCTGCGTCAGTGTGGTCTACGAGCTGTTTCTCATCTTCATACTCTTCCAGGTAAGCGGGTTTTCTCAGATAATCTGGGAATGTGGGTGATGCTGTGGCCCCGGGTAAGTGAAGGGTGTCTGAGAAGGCTTTGCCCATCAGCCCCTCCGGAGCTTTGGCAGGAAGCAAGGCTGGACCCCCACAGAGGTGGGCAGAGGCCGTGAGGGGGGCCTCCAGAAGGACCCACTCGTGGGAAGGCTGCAAGCACTGCATCTCAGCAGCATCCCTGCTCTGAGCGTGGGGCAGCGTGTGGGCCCTGCCCAGACACCCCGGCCAGCGAGCGAGAGCCGGGCCGAGTGGGACTGTCTGGCTCAGGTGTAGATGCCTGCCAGGCAGTCTGTCCTCTGAGCAGCAGGGGTCCCACCCCTGGGGAGGGCAGCACGCCCACCCTCCCGTGGCACCCCAGCTAGTCGGTCCTAGGTTTTAATCCTTGGGGCTTCTCCCTCCAAGTGTGCTTTGTGCAAGATCGTCAGGATGGAGGCTGGAAAGTTCTCCTTAGTGAACTGTGGGTCAGGACCCACTAGCAGTGATGTCTGTTTTATTGATCGCTCTGCTCAACTCCACCTGCACCCAGATGGTGGCCTTCGGTTTGCGAGTCCTCTCCTACTCACAAGCACACGGCTGCCATCAGTTGTATTGCTCGTGATTTATCGCCATGTGGTGAGATTTACTTTCTGAGCGTGGCGTCCGGGTCCCAGTGTTGACACCTGTGTGTGTAAGCCCTCGTGTGGGACACAACACTGGCCTGCTCTCCCTCCACCACCCAGTCCCGCTCTGTGAGGACCCCCTGGGGCAGTCTCGCTCGTGCCTCCGGGGCCCCTGAAGGCTGTTGGGGTCATGCGCCGACTCTTGCTGGGCAGGGGCGGCCTCGACATTAGAGCCAGAGCCCTTGAGCGGGGCTTCTAGTGATAGGCCCACGTGCACCCGAGTGCGTGTTAGGTCTGCTCCCATGTAAGGAGGCTGCACTGCCCCCCGGCGTGACTGGGTCAGGGTGTTTACTCTCAGAGGCTGTCCGCACCCCCAGCCTTGTTTGCCTTTCCTGAAGGGCTGAGCTGCTCCACGCAGCAAGGGTCCTGCTCAGTGCGGTGCTTGCACTGCGTGGCCGCCCTTCTCTGGGTGCGCAGCCTGCACCTCTCAAGGCCCCAGAATCTGGGCACCTGCTCTCCCGAAGCAGGGGTGCAGCAGGGTCCAGCCTCAGATCCTGTGGCAGCCAAATCAGTCGTGGCTGATGTCACGGTCCAAGGGTCACTTCCTTGGACCAAGACCCCAAGCTGGGGACAGAGTCAAGTTGCAGGACGAGGCAGTGCGTCTGTCTAGCACAGACATGATGTGGGTCTGAGGCCACGGACACCTGTCACTCCTCACCATCTTCCCTGCTTCGTCCCTCGGCTGTACTTGGGGCAAGAGTGAGGGGATGGTGTCCTGACCACAGGCATCCTGGGGTCGCTCCCTGTGGGCTGGTGGCCAGAGGGGGCCTGAGGGAGGGATGAGGGTCTGTCTGCTTCAGGCAGCCTTCTTTCCGTCTGTGCGACCCTGGAAGTCTCCGTAGTGCTAAGGCCAGAAGGGGCAGTTCACTGCTGTTGGCATCCGCCTGGGGAGGCTGTCCTGACGTCCTGCTTCTTCTGGGAGGGGGGGCCCGTGGAGAGGGGTGGTAGCACGACCAGTGACCTGAGCCCCCATCCTGTGACCCCACCTGTGTCCCCACCCACACAGCCTCCTAGCAGGGCATGGCGCATCCCCCTGGACTCCGGACTCCCCCCGCCCCCACCACGTCTTCCCGTCCCTGCCCTGCAGGGTGTTTGCCCCCCCACCCTCGGCGCAGGTGTCACCCACACACCCCGGGCCCCATGGACGCTTTAGGGACTTGAGGTGAGTTCTCGCATCGCCACCAGCAGCTGTGGCCCCACTGACCAGGGCGCTGGCCTTGCAGACTGTCCAGGATGGCCGCCAGTTCCTGAAGTATGTGGACCCCAGGCTGGGAGTCCCGCTGCCGGAGAGAGACTACGGGGGAAACTGCCTCATCTATGATGCAGACAACGAGAGCGACCCCTTCCACAACGTCTGGGTACGGGCGGGCCCCGGGGGCCCCGCGCTCGGGGTGGGGCCAAGAGCCGCATGCTTAACAAGCTGCCCAGGTGCTGATCTGTCCTGTGTGTTTCTGGAACCCCTGTCGTTCTGCAGATCACATGGGGTGGGGTGGGGTTGGCCCTGCCAGGCGCTGGCCTCCCTCCCTCCGCTTTAGCCCACTCGGGGCAGGACCCGTGCAGGCCCCTGCCCCCCAGCCTGGAGACCTGCCCTCCGCGGTGGTCAGGGGTGCTGTCTGCATGCGTGCGGGATCCCAGCTTTGTCCTGGGGGCCAGTCAGCGCTGCGCAGAGAGACAGGAGGTGGGCCCAGGTGCTCATGGGGAAGGAGGGACCAGTGGCTGTGGGCTGCACATGAGGCCCGTGTCCTGTCCCCACAGGACAAGCTGGACGGCTTTGTGCCTGCGCACTTTCTTGGCTGGTACCTGAAGGTAAGGTGACCTCGTCATCAGAAGGACACCCTGGTTTTCCTGCCCCGTTCTCTGAAGCCACTTCCCAGCCACAGGCTGATGTTCATAGTGGTTGAGTATGGTGGGCAAGGGTCTGGGGGCCATGGCTCAGGCCAGGCAGCTGTCCAGAGAGTTCGCACAACTGCTCGGACACCCTGGGTCTTGGCCCCAACTCGCACCTGTCCTTGAGGTCGCGGACCAGTGCCTTGCCCTGTTCCCGAGAAGGCTGAGGGTGTCCCCCCTGGAGGGGCTGACACTCTGTCGCGGCCTGCAGACCCTGATGATCCGTGACTGGTGGATGTGCACTATCGTGAGCGTGATGTTCGAGTTTCTCGAGTACAGCCTGGAGCACCAGCTGCCCAATTTCAGCGAGTGCTGGTGGGATCACGTAGGTGCCGGCAGCTGCCCTGGGGGGGCCGAGGGCAGGATGGGACCAGGGGCCACGAGCGCCCACCACCTCCTTGGCTCCTGCCCCTAGTGGATCATGGATGTGCTCGTTTGCAATGGGCTGGGCATCTACTGCGGCATGAAGACTCTTGAGTGGCTGTCTCTGAAGACATACAAGTGGCAGGGTCTCTGGAACATTCCCACCTACAAGTACGGCTCTCGAGCTGCCCTGGTCCGTGGGGGGAGGAATGTCAGCCCGACCCCCACCCTGCCTAGTCAGTTCTCTTCATCCCCTACTGGCCTTTCTCAGAGGCCCCCAAGGTCTCCCCTCCCGGAGCTGCCCTCCTTAGGTGAGCTGGGAGGGCGCTGGGGAGTGGGCTCTCCTACCCGTCACAGGCCCGCGGGCTGAAGGGCACCCGTGCTCCCAGGGGCAAGATGAAGAGGATCGCCTTCCAGTTCACGCCCTACAGCTGGGTCCGCTTCGAGTGGAAGCCTGCCTCCAGCCTGCGCCGCTGGCTGGCCGTGTGCGGCATCATCCTGGTGGTAAGGCCGGCCAGCCTCGTGTGCGCGCCTGCTGGGCCGCCCGGCTCGCCACCCACCCTCCTCTGTCCCCCAGTTTCTGTTGGCAGAACTGAACACGTTCTACCTGAAATTCGTGCTGTGGATGCCCCCCGAGCACTACCTGGTCCTCCTGCGGCTGGTCTTCTTCGTGAATGTGGGCGGCGTGGCCATGCGGGAGATCTACGACTTCATGGATGACCCGTGAGGGCCGAGGGGGTGCGGGGCGGGCCCGGGCGCACCTGGGGTCGCTGCCCCCTGGGGCATAGCTGCAGCGCCCTCAGGCGAGTGCCCTCCCCCACAGGAAGCCCCACAAGAAGCTCGGCCAGCAGGCCTGGCTGGTGGCAGCCATCACGGTCACAGAGCTGCTCATCGTCGTGAAGTACGACCCGCATACGCTCACGCTGTCCCTGCCCTTCTACATCTCCCAGTGCTGGACGCTCGGCTCTGTGCTCGTGCTCACCTGGACCATCTGGCGCTTCTTCTTGCGGTGAGTGCCGTGTTCCCGGAGGAGCGAGCACTCGACGGCCTCAGCGCCAGCTTGAGGGCTGTGTTTGACTGGTATCTGGGTCTTGCAGCCCCTGCCTATAGCTCTGTGGGCGTCCCTGTGAGGGGCGGTTTCATAGGACCTCCATGGGCCGGCTGATGGTGACTCAGCCCCCACTGTCCTCAGGGACATCACCCTGAGGTACAAGGAGACTCGACGGCAGAAGCAGCAGAGCAGGGGTGACCAGGACAAAGCTGTGGGCAACGCGGACGGACACCTGCCTGGGCCGGAAGACCCCCCAGGGCCTGCGGAGCCTGAGAGGGAGGGGGTGCCGGTCCCAAACTGATGCACTTCACGACTGCCCAGAGAGCCCGGGCCTGCTGGAACCTCCTGACAGGCTTCAGCCCTCGTAGTTTTATTTTCCCTTTCTCCCATGCACATGGCTGGGCTCTGTGGGGTGCAGGTGGCCTCTGACCGAGGCACGTGTGTACGTGTGTGTGCGTGTGTGTGTGTGGTGTGCCCACATGTGCTCCTCGGGCTCCTCAGCCTGACCGGTGTGGCTGGTCTCACTCTGGGCAGCCGGACCCCTCCCCTCAATGCACCGTCAGCCGGCCCAGGCCCAGCAGAGGCATCATGATGCCTTTCTCTGCTCCCCGGGCCCCCGGCCACTCGGAAGGCCTGACTGCACCTCACTGGATCCCCATCAGCTCCCTGACGGCACGTGTGAGGGATGACCGTCCAACACCACCCTGAGATGGCTGAGAAGGGGCGGGTCAAATAGGCAGTCCTGAGCCGTGTCCTAGGGAGGCTTCCTCTGGCACAACAAACCTGGGGGTGTGAACGGGGCCAGAGGTCACTGGACTGGCCCCCTGAGGAACATGGAGTCAGAAACTCAAAGGCCCTGTGCCTGAGGTCGGGAGGAGGGGCAGAGGGTCCTCTTCAAGAGCGAACTGAGCAAGTAAAGCAGTGCTGAAGGTCCTGAGCGGCTCCCAGCCCGTCTGTCATGTGCCCGGCGCAGGGGCTGCCCTGGCAGCGGGCAGGGGCTGCTTGGCCTGGGCCCACGTGCACAGGGCCGGCCCCTGGGAGCCTCTTCTGGTGGGGGTGGTGGAGGCCGCGCAGCGTGCCTGGTGAAGACCTGACAAGAAGGACAAGCACTCCTGCCAAAAAAGTGCTTTAATAAAATGTCTAAACCTTTCCCACAGCAGTCCATTGATTTGACAGTCTCTTCATTCTCAGCCCGGAAGCCCGGAGCGGGAGGAGCCCTGGGCCTCTCAGGAGATGATCCGTAGGCTTGGCCTGCGTTCTCCCAGGGCCCGAAGGAGGTCCTCGGTCTGCTGCGTCCAGTAGATGTCGTACAGGCTACATGGGCAGCGAGGAGGCTGGGTCAGGCCTCGCGGGCCAACCCCCAGCTCCTGTGCCACCCTCCCCCCCCAACGCCTGCCCCCGCGCCCCACTTACACCAGCTGCTCCAGCGCACAACCAGGCTGCTCCAGGCTCTCCACCAGCCGCAGGATGCCCAGGTCATCCATGCAGTTGTTGCTGAGGTCCAGCTCCCGCAGGCTGTGGTTTGTCACCAGGAGCGAGGCCAGGCTGTTGCAGCCACTGTTGGCCACATCACAGTCCCCCAGCCTGAGCAGACAGCAGGGTACGGGTCAGGACCAGAGGATCCGCCACAGAACAGAGGGTGGTGGCAGGGGTGTCCACGGAGCCCTGAAGCACGTGTGCACACAGTGCGCCAAGACCTCCGGGTCATAGCTGTTCCCCAAACCTCGAACTTGGGAGCATGTCTGGCTCTGACCCAGCGGCCGGCCCCAGGCAGATACCCCCACCAGACACAGAAGGAAGTGCACTCAGCTGCCCTCCAGGCAGAGTGGTCAGACTGACCTGAGGCCGGCACACTCCGGACTCCGGGCCACAGCCTCCCCAGGGCCAACTTGGGTCACCAGAGGGCCTCCGACAACCACTTGCTTGCTCACGGCCAGGTGCCGCAGCCTGGCTGGGCTGCCAAAGGGGCACCCAGAGGCCAAAGGTGGGGGGGAGGAGGTGACTGGAGTAACAGTGCAGAAGCTTCCAGCCTCCAGAGCAAGGACACCTAGGTGGGGGTGGCGCTGAGGCCCCGGAGGCTCCAGGCCCCCTGCCTGCTGTGACTGCTGAGGCAGCTCTGTCTATGGGGACCCGAGCCACACACACCCCTTGCCCCGCCGGCCCCCAGAGCACCCCTAGGAGCTGGCAGTAGACCAGGCCCTCTGGGTAGAAAAGTAGGGGATCCCGTCCAGCTCAGCCTCCACTTGTGCCCTGCTCAGCATGGCCAGGCAGCCCCAGGAGCCACAGTGAGAAGCAGAGATCCAGACACCGAAAACAAAGCCACATCCTACAGTAGCAGAATCTTAACGACTGACCGGCCGAAAAATAGAAACAAAAAAGAATGGAGCGTCAGGCCGCAGGTCGTCGGTGAGACCCAGCAGTGGGTTCCTGAGTGCTCCAGGGAGAAAAAAGCAAGATTAGAAAAGTCATCAAAGGCACAACACTCGAGCACAAACAAGCATCCAGCACCACAAAGGAAGCGGGACCCTGGGACACAGCAGAGCCATACAGAGCAGGAGCCGCCAGGCCTTCGGGAGCCCGCGGGTTCTGGGAGCTGCCAGACGGGAGTGGAGAGGGTCCCCGGGGGGAGGCGCAGGACCAGGGCTCCCACATGGGTCGGGGACCCCAGACTTGGACCCGTCAGACCGAGACACGGCCAGCGCACCCGTGCACGCTCACCAGAGCACCCGCAGCGTGGCGCCAGGCTGGCTCAGGCCCCGGCAGAGCTCCTGGACGCCAGAGTCCCCCAGCTTGTTGTCGCTCATCTGCAGCTCCACAAGGTGCTTGTTTTGGGTCAGCATCGTGCTGAAGTGGGGGCAGCACGCAGCCGTGAAACTGCAGGACTTCACCCTGGGAGAGAGACAGGACTAGGGCCTGGCCGGAGCCCGTACCTCTCGGGCGCTCTCTGAGGCCCCGAGGACCTGAGCATGAGCCCCCCAACACCTGCCCTCCAGGACACTCAGCACTCCCTCCTTTGCATGCCTGACTTGCCCACAGGTGCAGAAGCTCACCTGGGCCGCGCGCCCCAGGGCCCCAGACCACCGTCATCCACGAGGTCCCCCCAGGCGCCATGCTCCTCCTCACAGGCCCGCCGTCCCCTGGCCACCGCTGGGCTGTGCTCACCACAGGGACTGCAGCTGGCATCCAGGCTCCAGCAGGGTCTCACACAGCAGCCGGGCACCCTCGTCGCCCAGCGCATTGCCCGCCAGGCTCAGCTCCTTCAGGCTCTCCTTGGCCCTGAGAACCTGGCACAGGTCTCTGCAGCCTGCGGTGGTGATGTCACAGTCCCAGAGCCTGCAGGGCCGGGGGACACATAGCCAATCTTCTCAGATACTCCCCGCCCGCCCGCTGGGGCCACAGCTCTCTGAGGAAGCAGGGCGGGCGCAAACTCACCACAGGACCCTGAGCCGGGAGCTGGGATGCAGCAGCGCGGGGCATAGTGTGGCAATGCCCTGGTCACCCAGCTTGTTGTCACCCAGGTCCAACTCCTGCAGCGAGGCCTTGGAGGCCACGACACCACACAGGTCCTTACAGCTGGCCGATGTGAGCCCGCAGTTCTCCAGCCTGGGGACACAGGGGGACTGGCTGGGCTGGGAAGCCCCCACAATCCTGCCCCACCCAGCCATCCCCAGCCCTTCCCAGCCAGACCGTGCACGTACTTGAGCGTCTCCAGCTGGCAGGCAGAGTCCACCAGGCCCTGACACAGTGCCCGCACACCAGCCTCACCGATGTCATTGTTGCTCACCGCAAGCTCCTTGAAGTGCCTCTGGGCCCTGAGCGCTGCAGCCAGGGGCTCGCAGCTGGCGGCCGTCAGGTTGCAGTACTCCAGCCTGGGGACGGGCGGGTGTTGGGAGCTCCGGCAAGGGAGCTTGGGCCGGGTCTCCTCCCCCACCCCGGGCTGTGGGGCGCTGGGCAGGGACAGCAGTGACTAAGGGGCCATCTCCTTGCAGGGTGGGTGCTCAGGGCCTCCTGGAAGCCGGCTGCCAACCACAAGCCCCACCCTGAGCTTGGGACTCACTGGACCTGGGAAAAAGATGCCAGTATCCCGATCTGGGCCTGGCTTCCTTCCTCCATTGCTGAGCCCATCAGCACACTTTTGGTGGCCAGGCCACCCCACACTGGATATGGGGTTACAGGCCACTTTCCAGCTTTTGGGCCACAGCCCCAGCATCACACAGAAGGACCATTTGCAGGTCCCCAAGAGCTCCCTCCTCAAAGCTCCCTGCGGCCAACACGCTGAGGCAAGGGCTTGCCCAGGGCGAGTCCTCAACCAAAACCAGAGTGACCGGTAGGTACAGGGCTGGGGGTGGCCTGGGTGGCAAGTCACACTCACTGAAGCTTCTCCAGGTGGCACTGGGGGTCCAGGAGCCCTTTGCAGAGCAGCTGCAGGCCTGCATCCCCCAGCGGGTTGTCACTGAGCTGCAGCTCGCGCAGGGTGGACAGGGAGCACAGCACATCTGGCAGGACCTCGCAGCCGGTGTCCGTCAGGGAGCAGTTTCGGAGGCTGGAGCACACCCAGCCGGCCATCAGCAGGGTCCCCACCAGCCAGGCTGTGGCCCCTGGGGAAACTGCCCCTGTGTCCTTGGGAGCCGAGGTGAGGCAGACACAGCTACCACTTCCGCATGCCAAACCGCATGCCCACAGGAGACCCCTGGGCCTGGCCTTGCAAGAGGGCCTGCTCCTCCTCCTCCCGGCGGGGCTCTGGGGTCTCCAGGCCGAGGACAGAGGGCAGGGGAGGGGATGCGCATCGGGGCCTAGAGGACGCTGGGCTGCGAGCCCAGGAATGGCAGGCAGGGCTGTGGCGGGAGCAGACCTCACAGGGGAACAGGGGCCTGAGCTAAGGCGAGAGGGGCCCCCACAGCTGCCTGCAAGCCGCCCTTTCCCCGGGCTGACCCAGCAGGCCCAGACCGGAGCTTGGTGTGGGGCATGCGCCTGGGACCATGTGGATCATACAGGCTCACCTGAGCTTCTGGATCTTGCAGCCGGGGCTCTGCAGGCCCTGGAGCAGCAGCCGCACCCCGGCATCGCCCAGCTCATTGGTGCAAAGGCTCAGCTCCGTCAGCGAGGGGTTGGCCTGGAGGGCAGAGCGGATATCCTTGCACCGCACCTCCGTGAGGCCGCAGTCGTCCAGCCTGTGGACAGGACACGCAGTCATTCCATACAGGACGTCCTGACCTGCCGGGGGCCCGAGAACTCGACAACGTGGGTCACAATCAGGACACTGAAAAATGAAGCGAAGCAGAGGGGTGCCTGGCTGGCTCAGGCAGAGAAGCATGCGACTCGACCTCGGGGTGGTGAATTCAAGCCCCACACCGCATGTAGCAATTGCTAAAAAAAAAATATAGTGTATGGGTCACTTCATGAAGCTTCTGTTGAAGACACCAGCACGTACACAGATGACGTCCAGGCCACCATACCCTCTGCACCCTACTGCACTGTGGGCACAGTCGGCCCGTGAGAGCGCTCATCTGCCTCCCGGGAAACAGCAAACCTGCCCCAGGCAGAAAGGGCACAGCACCCCAGAGGGACCAACCAACTGGGGGGGGGGGCTCGCCAGGATGGGCACAAATGGCAGGGGCCGTAGTGCCACCCATAACCCAAGACCGGGGCCACCCTGACCAGGTGAGAACCGACCATGGGCAGGAGGAAAGCCAGCTCTCGCTCACAGGAGAATGACAGCTGATAAATGCGGATGGAATGAGGGAATTAAAAACCCCAATTAGAAAATTGGCCCAGTTATAAAAAAAAAAAAAAAGGCCCAGTAAAAACTGTTCTGGCAAGATCCACCGCTGGATGACAAAATCAGGCACAAGTCTGGGCAGCAGCAGGATGTCAGCAGTCTCCACAGATGTCACCCAACACATTTACCAGTCACAAAGAGAACACAGCAACTGTAGCGGAGGGAGCCGCAGACACCACCCTCACAGGTGGTCATGGTGACATTGGGGTGACCAGATGGTGCCATGCCGGTAGGTAGGATACGACATACCCCGCAGACACAACAGCATTTCTGCATATTCTTGCGAGAAATTTGTGACTCAGCCACGACAAGAAGTCAGAGAGACTCTCCAGAGCCTGAGCAGACTCAAGAGTTGGATGGCCAGGGACAAGGAGGGACGGAGGGACCATCTCAGATGGGAGGTGCCCAAGGAGACCCATTACGTGAGGGTAAATGCCCCATGGGATCCTGCGTAGACCCAGGAACAGGAAGGACACAAGTGGAGGAGTTGGTGGCATCTGAGTCCTGGCGCCCGTGTCGGGCTCTTGGTTCTGACCCCGCAGGCAACAGGGCCGTGGCATCGGGGAAGTAAGGCAGTATGTCTCTGAAACTCTTCTATAGCCCGAAAATCACTTCCAGTAAGTGAAAGAGAGAAAAGGAAAGCAAGCGCTCCTCCCCTGCTTGTGAACCCCGGGGAGGCTGTGGTCTGAGAAGTTCCACGACAAAGCTCAGCCTCGGCTCTGGCTGCCAGCCCACAGCCCAGCTGGGATGGCGGACAGGCAGCTAGAGCCTCCACACTCCAGGCAAGGGGCAAGCCCCCCAGAGCCTCCGTGCCCAATCCTGCCCACCCAGCCCGAGCCAGGAATTAGTTTACATTTTCACTAGTTGGGGGAAAAGTACAGTAACGTCTCACACCGTATGAAAACCATATCAAATTTACATTGTGTGTCCATAAGCCCCACTCCCTGGTGGTGCCGTACGAAGGCCACAGAGCCACTGCACGGGGTGGGGGCCTGCCCACTGCGCCCCCCCCCCCCACTCTGGCCAGGGAGCGCCTACCTGACCACCTGGTACTGCCGGAGCAGGGGCAGGAGCTCCGCCCACCGGGCGTCACTTAGGTGCTGACACTGGATGTCGAGATTCATGGTTCGAAGTGAAGTGTTTTCTAGACAGAGGCAGAAGGAGACACTGCAGCCAGACTCTCCCAACGTCCGGCAGGTCAGAGACCCAGCAGGTGGGAAAAGCCCCAACAGGACCCCCACGTGGAGGCTGATGGTTCAGAACCCACGGCCTCTCCCTTGGCCAGTGAGCACCTTTGTTTCCTTTCTTCAGCACCCTTATCCACCTCAGCCTCCAGGAGCGAAAACGGGGGTGGGCAGGGGGAGGCTGCACCTGCTGGGCTCCCCCGACAAAGGCCACCGCAGAGCCTGGGGACACAGCTGTGGGAAAAGAGGTGGCCTCACCTCTCCGCCTCCCGTGCTCAGCCTTCATGGGCCCCTCCTGCCCAGCAGAGCCAACACCCACGCTGCCCATCTGCAGCCCCTGCTTCTCACTTGCCTGGGTGACACCACGGTGCAAGGACCCCAGCTGGTGGAGTACGGGGACCAGCAATCCGTGCGGTGCCACGGAAACTCTGCCTTCCAGCTCAGCCAGCTTCTCCCCTCTTAGAACCAGAGGGCTGCACTGGCTGGGCAGCCAGTGCCACAGCCCTGCCTGGCCAGAGAGCCCCCACCCTGGCATTCTAGGAGCCTGGCCCTGAGCAGCCTGCAAGAACCCTAGGCCTCACTGCCCTGCAGCAGCTGGGTGCGAGGACAGGTGCCTGTGCTCAGCTAACAGTTCTCTGAGCGGCACCAGCCACAGGTGCCCTGGACAGGGCTGAGCAGGTGGGGGCTGGGATACCGGCCGCTCATGGGCGGCCACTCTGGTGCCTATGCCCACAATCCCTTTCTGGGGGCTGAGGACTCTCAGCCTGGGTCAGTCCAGGCCCACCGAGAAATCAGGCCATCAGGCAGGACTTTGGTAAACCAGTCTGGCATGGAAGCAGCTCACCAGAGACAGCACAGAGCCCGCGTAAACGATTAACTACCTGCTGACACCGGAGCTTTAGGGGAGCAATGGCTGCGGCAGGGGGGCAGCAGGAGAGAGCGAGGGTGGAGGCAGGGAAGGCGGCTGAGCTTCACCCACGTGTAACAGAAAAGCCCAGGAAGGGTCCACACCTGGAAACAATGCCGTCCCTGCTGCCTTCCAGAAGGATCGGGACAAACAGGATGACTCAACCCCACGTGAGGCTCCTGGCTCCTCGACACCCCAACTTCCTGCGAAAGCTGCCTCATTTGTGTCCCTGGCGGGAGAGGACTCCCCCTTCCATCCCAGCAGGTTCGGAGCTACACCCCATGGGGAGGGACAGACCAGGTAAAGGCTCTTGCCAACCAGCAGGCAAGATTCACCCCTTCACGTCCCAGCTGACGAGCCCGCTGCGGAAACGGGGTCCCACGACCATCAAAAGGAGGAACCCAGAGACTGCCCAGCCCCCGCCCAGGCCAAGTGCGCAAACTGGCCCGCCCCCGCTGGTCCCAGGGTGTGGTCTGCAAACCACGACTCCAGAGCCCTTAGTCATCCCTGGAGAAAGGGAGTGGGAGGCGGGGCTGCACAGGGACCCTCTCTCCGAATCCGGTCTGACCTCAGGGGGCTGGGCTCTGATATTAAGAACAAGGAAAGCGAAAGGAGCAACTGAAACCGCCTGCCCCGCTCTGGCCCCGCACCGGCCCAGGGCTTGACCAGACCCTGGGGAAACCGCTTGGTTGGGCCGTGGCGCTAGGAGGACACTTCTTAACCTCTATGGGCCACGGATCCCTTTGAGAACCCCAAGAAAACCTGTAATCCCTGCAAAGACGCCGTGTCGTACTGCTTCACCCGGAAACAGGACCCCCACCAGCTGGGCCGCTCCCAAGAGGACACTCCATGCTTTCAGGTGTGACAACTGGCCGCTGCGCAGGACCGTGCCCAGAAGACAGGAACCGGGAGGCGGAGCCCCCGGCCTGAGCCCACCCGAGCCGGGCCGGAAGGCTGGAGCGCGCCCCGGGCCCAAAGAGCCCCAAGCCCGGCGGCCCCGGACGGCGCGGTTCCCTGCGCGAGGCGACCAGGGGGGCGCCGGGGTCCGCGCCAGGCCTCCCAGGGCCGCCGCCGCCCTCCCCGCGCGCCGGAGGCTGCGCACGTCTCCAGGGCGAGCGCGGGACTGCGCCGCGGGAAAGCGGCCTCTGGGGTTCGCGCGCGGGCGGCCCCCGCCCTCCCCCCGCTCCCCGGACCCCACACCCTGCGCCGCTCACCTCGGGCCGAGCCGCGGCTTCCACTGGGGCCTGGGGCGCGGTCCGGGCCACGTCCTGGGGGTGGGGCCACGTGCTAGGCGGGGCGACGAGCCCGGGGTGACTCTCCCGCGCCGCGCCACCCCGTATCGTCTCCCCGGGGACCCTAGCCCCAGACGGGGGCCTGCCCTCCATCCCTCGCGGGCAGCGTCTCTAGGCGAGAGCCGTTTTGGCAGCGGGTGCTCGGCTGGCAAAACCCAACTCGGGCGCTTGCTTTACAAGGAGGAAGCTCGGCTGTCAGGGCTTGCTCTGCAACACCCCCACCCTGCCCGTTAGAAGAACGGCATCACTGACGGGGAAAGACCTTCAAGAGCACCTCGTTAAGTTTTTCAAACATGCGGAACAAGACACACGGTGTTTCAAAAACCGGGGGATGGGGCGCTTTACGTGCTGCTCTCGGCCCGTGTGGGTCACCTCCTGGGGCGCGTGTGTCAGCTCTCCCGCTTGCACGGGCTGTGGCGGTCTGTTCAAGGGCGTCCCTCGCTGACCCGTACACTCGTTAGATCAGGGACGATGGATGCGTTCTCCTCACAGGCATCCGTCACTTCAACCAATGCTTACCAAACACCTAGAGTGCCAGGCACTATGCTGGGCACTTGGGCTAAGAGCAAAGCAGCGCAAGGGTCTCAGGCCTCACGCTCACGGAGCTCAGTCAAATGTGAGTCCAGTGCATGAAATTAAAAAGTGTATTAAGAGCATTTAGAATGTGGCAAGTGCAGAGGTGGGGAGGAGGGTGGATAATGCCGGATAGAAGCGAGTCTGGTCAGCAGTGGGTGCTGGAGGGGCAGGGCGGAGGTCAGGTAGGTCCCCTGCCCAGTGAGGGCAGGCCTTGCGAGACTGAGGCCCAGAGGCTACGCAGGCTGGGAGGGAGATGGGTTGGAGTTTTCACTGCAGACCTGGGACGATCTTTGTGGCCACCAGGGGACACCACATTACAGGCAGGGGATGAGGGACCTGGGAGCTAGAGAGCCAGTTCTTTGGGGGAAATAAAGTGAAGGGTTATTCAATTTGGGGGAATATTCGGCTGGGTCAGTCCTTCCATGGGTAGCTTGCTGGGAACCAGCAGACAAGGGGGTCAGGGCCACCACTGTGGGGCACAGGGGTCCCAAAGAACTCAGTGGATTCGAGAGTTGCGCCAAAGCAGAGACAACCCCCCAGCCCCCGCCCCCATAAGCACCCTCAGAGCAGGTGCAAGTTGTCGGACTGACAAGTGAAGGCAGTGGAGCCCAGCAGCTCTCTTCCACCTGATGCAGAAGACAAGGGAGGAGCTGAGTTTCTCAGTTTCTTGCAGAAGCTTCCGCAGGCTGAAGATGGTTCAGAGTGGAGGGGCCTCTGGGTATTCCAGTGTTCCAACCAACTTCCACAGGACTTTGTTTTCTTCAGGCAAATACCCAGAAATGAAATTAATGGCCATCTGGTATTTTTAACTTTCTGAGGAACCTCCCTACTGTTTTCCAGTTACATCCGCACCCAGAGGGCAGATCTGTTTCCTTTTCTCCACATCCTCGCCAATAAAGCTTACCCATTCTGACAGCTGTGAGGTGGTGGGTCATTGTTTTGATTTGCATTTCCCTGATGATCAGAGATGCCGAGTGTTTTCCATGTGTCTGTTGGATATCTGATGTCTTCTTTGGAGAAATGTCTGTTCAGGTCCTCTGCTCATTTTTAATCAGATTGTTTTGAGTTTGTTTTTTAGTGTTATGTTTTAAGAGTTCTTTATATTTGTTGGATAGTAACCCCTTATCACATAAATCATTTGCAAATATCTTCTCTCATTCAATAGTTTGCCCTCTCATTTTGTTGATGGTTTCCTTTGTTATAAAACATGATTTTTATCACACGAGCAGTATGTGGTCTTTTTAGAAAAATCATAAGATAGAAATAAGAAAATGAAACCCCCTAGTATGCCCGCCTTCTAGACACAAAGGCTCTGACTTCTGTGAACATGCTCCTACTCTCTGTATGCACAATATTAATTTTTTTAAAAAATAAAAAATGAGATACTATTAAGGGTAGGCAGAATAATAACCAAAGATAATCATGTCCTAATCCCTACCTTCCATAGCAAAGGGGTCTTTGCAGATGTGACTAAGTTAAAGATACTGAGATGGAGAGACTGCCCTGGGTTACTTGGATAGGCCCAAAGTGGTCATGAGGGTCTTTATAAGAGGGAAGCAAAAGGGTCAAAATGAGAGAGATGTGACAGTGGTGGCAGAGGTAGGAGTGGCTGTGCTCTGAAGAGGGAAGAAGGCAGCCTCTAGAAGCTGGAAAAGGCCAACAGGCAGATTCTCCCCTGCAACCTTTGGAAGGAACTAGGCAGGTAGATACCTCGATTTGACGCCCTAGGGCCCATTTCCCACTTCTAATCTTAAGAACTGTAAAATAAAAAATCCGTGGCAACGTGTCAGCAGCAGTAGGAAACTAAAGCATTACGGAGCTGCTGCATTTTTCCTTAAGAATAGTTGTGTATACAGTGTATACTAATCAGCATGTAATACAACCTTCTAATGACCACATTGTGCAACTGAATGTATCCAGTTTGCTCAACCAATAGCTACAGGCTGACGTTTTCAGGTTTTTCAGGCTTCACAGCATATTCTCCCGCCTGGTTACCTTCCTGGCACACAGTCCAAGAGGGTGGCCTGCCTGGCGTCCTGAAACGCCGCAGGTCCCCCAGCTTTTCCCACACTCGCATGTCTCCACACCCGAGTGCCAGTGATGCCCGCCCAACAATGCAAAGTGCCTGGACGCCCTTTTTAAATTTCAGCCAATCCTCTGACAACCCGACCCCTACCAGGCGCCGTCCATTTACATTTTTGTCTTCCCCACGTGAGCCGTCCACCCAGTTCTCCCCACGGTTCTCGGGTGACTTGTCGGGGGCAGAGCTGCCGGGCGGGAAGATGGCCAGGCCCAAGGTCAGTATCCTGAGGGGTGACCGGGCAAGTCCCCTCTGCCAGGGATGTCTCCTTGGGGGCACGGCTCTTTGAGGAATAAAGTCCAGGGTTACTCCGGGGACAACGTCCCTGAGCCAGTCCCTGCTTGTGTAGCTTGCTGGGCGCCAACAGCCCAGGGATCCGGCCAGACCCCAACAAGGAAAGGGCAGAACTACCAAAACGCCGACCCACAGACCCACCGCCCCAGCGCAGGGACTCCCAGCGTGCCCCGGGAAGCGGGCCGGCAGCAAGTGCGCACGCGCGGGGAGCGCACTGGGGGGGGGGGGGGCCCTGACGTCATCGGGACGCGCGGACGCCCGCGGGACTCCGCCCCGCCCCCCAGTCCCAGCGGCTTCCCCTCGCGACCCCGTCCCCGCCCCTAGCACCGCCGGCTCTTTTACTCTGCCTCCCAGTGTTGCTTCAAGAGCGCATGTCCCTCGCGGGCAGCATGGCCGCAGCAGGCCCGGCGCGAGTCCACAGTCGACCCAACCAAGGCCGACGCTGGTAAGAAGTGACCCCGGGCGCGGACCCTTGGAGTGACTGACCTCCAGACGACGGATTGAGAAGCGGCCCACTTCCGACAGAGGCGGGGTCTGGCGTAGCGCGGCGTCGCTGCCGCGTCGGGTCCAGTGGTGGGGCGGGGCCTAGACGGCGGGGCGGGGCTTTGCAGGGGGCGGGGCGGGGCCTCGCAGGGGGCGGGGCCCGGGCGGCTGCTCTCCCAGGCGGAGCGGCCTGTCTCCAAGCTCTCAAGTGGCGGCGGGACAGACCGGTGGTCCCGGCCCGGCCCTCCTGGCTTCCCGCCCGGGGCAGACGGCGGCGCGCGCGGGGTGTGCCTCGGACGCCGGGTCCCGGCAGCGACAGTAACGTGATGGGGCTGGAGGCTCGGTTCGGAGAGTCTGAGCGGCCGCCCCCCGCGGAGCACCGACTGCGCGGTAGAGCTGGAGAGTATGCACGAGTAAAGAGAAAAGATGATTTTGTAGGAAAGAGTGTTATTCATTAAGGTAGCGTTTGTAGTCTGTGCGCAGTGCTTCACTTATCCAGCACTGTCAGAAACCTCTCTGATTCTGTGTCTCACTTAAGTGCATTCATTCAGTAAACGTTTGTTATGTAACCCCTTGTGCCCGGCAGTGCTGTAGGTACTGGGGATTCAACACTGAGCAGAACAGGCAGAAATCCCTGGTGGAGGGAACGTGGGAGGGGGGCCTGGCCCGGGAGGGTTCAGGACCAGGAGTTGGTGAGGAGCGTGGCCAGGTGTCCACACACTGGAGCAAGTGGTGCTCAGCCAAAGGCATAAAATTGAACGCTGAGAGTTTTACGGAGGAGGGAAGAAAGGTCTGGAAGCAGCAGGAAGGAGCCAGGACAGGGACCTGCCCTCCAGGAGGGAAAGCAGCTGTGCTTGACAGGCTGCTAGGGGAAGCCGTCTCCAGAGAGCCAGCTTCTGCCAGAACAGAAGGGCTGTGACGGTGCTCAAGAAAGAACTGGCTTGTCTTGAGAACTTACTTCTTTAAGTGTTAGAATTTTATTTTAACAGTTTTAATAGAAATTGATTAATTATACTATGCACTTTCCTGTTCTATAGACATAGTGCAGTGACTTTGATCAATTTTTCTAAAATTGATTTCAGCAAACTTTAGGAGGCCTTCTGTGAGCCAGCACCACTGCAGGGGCCTGGGAGGAAGGTAAGCAAGGCCAAGGCCTGCCACCTGGAGCCACACGTGGGGCAGCAATGAAGGCCGCAGGGGTCACAGATGCCCTTCAAGTATTACATAGCTGGGTTTTTTCCAGGAGGGAGAAGAAATCACAGGCAGTTGTTTTTGCCGAAATACGGTGATACTCACGTGATACCTTAAGACTGCGCTGGTGCCAGATGTACTTGGTCTTGTCTCTGTTTTAGTTCTTTTCTGTGTTTATTGGGAAATAATAGTACAAGATTGTTGGAATTGGGCCTAAAGTGAGTACCTACCTGTCAAGAGCATGGATCAGAAGTGTTCTTACAGGAATAAACAGCATGAACTTCAGTACGTCAGTATTATGACTTACATTTCGGTTGTTTGTCAATGAATACGCTGTAGACTAGTCCCCGGTTCTCAGAATTGACATCATGGAAGATATGATCTACACTCTTTACTAGATTTTATGTCCTTTTGACTCTGTGTTTCAGTCTAGGTAATTTCTTTTGACCTGCCTTTTAATTCACTAATTCTCTCTTTATCTGTATCAAATCTGTTGTCAGCCCCTTCCATCGAGTCCTTAAATTTAGTTATTCTATTTTTCTCTTTTGGAATTTCCATCACTTATTTGGTTTTGTTTCCAGGTCTCCCCTTAACCAAATTAGTTAATCTTGTCTTTTGACAATGTACTTAATTGAGTACATTACGTATAGTTATTTTAAAGTTCTTATCTGATAATGC